CGGCCTTCCCCGCCCCCCCCCATCCCTCCTGCCAGCCCAGGGAATGGCCCAGACTTTCCCCCCTGCCCCGGAGCTCTGCCAGCCTTCAGCCGCGCAGCTCAGAGATCAGCAACAAGTCTGCCGGGAAGCCCAGACGCGGCATCCCGCAGCCCCCGGGGAAGCCCACCTCCGTGCAGGGCGGCAGCTCGGGTGCCAGGGGAAGCCACTGGAAAGCCCGGGTTCCCGGGAAATTTGCTTTCAGTTTCCCTTCACCATGCCATGACAGCCCCAAGCAGGAGCTGCTGCAGGGTCACCGCAGCCGCTCCTCGGTGGGAGGACCCCAGCAGCACCCCAGTCTACAGACCTCCTGCCCGGCTCAGTCCCGACCCCATCTCAAGCTCTGCTTTACCACAATCCATTTGGTCTCTTAGAGACCCCAGAGCGGTCGCAGCTCTGGTCCGTCCCACCCCATTACAGCAGGGAACCCGCCACCCCCAAGGGGCCTGCCCCTGCGTGAGCACCCCGGCCCTGCTCATGCCCTGGCTAGCTGGGTGCGCGCACCCCTCCAGCCCTGGGAGCAGCCGGCTCATCAGCATGCACCCAGCTCGGGCTCAAAGGGCAGAGGGCGATAACCCTGGCAGGGGAAGAGAGGCAGCCCTGGACTCCGGGGATGGCAGAGGAGGGCCTGTGCTGCTCCCGGAGGGCATGGCGAAAGCAAGCAGCCCCTTCCAGAGGCAAGGGGAGGGAGGGGAAAGCAAAGCCTGGCAGGGGTTAGCTGGGGTGCAGATCCTCACAAGCTGCCACTGGAAGAGAGAAGAGGGAAACCAGAACAACGCTGGGAAGGTCTTGTCTGAGGCCACGCTGCACAGCCGGGATCCTGATCCACCACCACCACCCCCCAAGGCTGGGCTGGGGTTTGCCTCTCCCTTCTGGGTTCAGGGCACCCCTAATTGCCCTGGTTCCGGGGCCCCCCTCCTTGCCCCCCCTGGCCACGAGCCAGCTGCTTGGCAGACAGTCTCCACAGCAGCCGAAGCCATGTTGCAAGCAAAAGGATGGTTTCAGGAGGGAAGGAGGAGCTGGGAGCCACCAGGTGAGATGCACCGAAGCCTTTGCTTGGGGAAGAGGAAAGGCCCGATACCACAGAAACGGCCACATCAGGAGGACAGACCCGATGCACCATAGCCTGGGCATGGGGAAAAGGCCTTTATCATGCCTGGGGGAAGGGAACCAATACACAGAGCACAAGACCTTCAGGGTGGGCGCCGAGGGGGCTGCGAGCACTCCCGGGAGATGCCGGGCTGCCCCACCCCGGGGTCTCTTTGGCACTGCAGGAGGGCCCGCTAGCAGCCCGCATCCCATGGGTGCTGCGCAGGGGGGAGGATGCTGCCCTAGCCCAGAGGTATGGCACAGAGGCTGCCAGCTGGGAGGGACATCAGGGACCCCACCGACCCTTCCTTGCGTGCAGGGGATGGGGCAGCTGTCGCGGGAGTTAGGGAAGAGCTGCAGCATCCCCGGATCCCGGCCAGAGCTGTTCCCAGATCCCGGCCAGAGCTGTTCCCACCAGCTCTAGATCCAACCCCTACCCATGCCAGCAGCAGCTGGGGCCTGTCCCTCTGCAGAGTGCTGGGGCAGAGGGGGGGTGACTGCCCCACTGCTGTCCTGCTCTGGGCTGAAGGGCACAACCTTGGTCCTCTCCAGGAGGGCAAACGTGGTCCTGGGCACCTCCCCAGGGCTGCAGGCAGGGCAGGTGTGGTGCTACAGGCTGAGCTAGAGCCCCCACAACAGCTCCTGCCTTCATGTTGGAGGCAGGTCCCAGCTCCAGGCAGACATCTGGAGCTGGTGCCATCTCGCATCCCTTCGAAGAGCAGCTGCTGCTGCCACCTCCAAGCCAGCCTACAGCTCCCCACTGCTAGTCCTGTCACGTCAGCTTTCGCAGGCTCTGCAGCGATCCTCCGACACGGACGACACAGATGTGAACACAGACACATGTATGTACTCACACACGCATTCACCCCACGAGTCAGAGTGGCGTTGACTTGACACACGGCTGGACACAAAGTGCCACCGCAAAGCCGCCGGCCTGGCAGTTTTGTCTCTTCGGCAATTGATGGCAACAAAATGGAGCCCGGGACTATCCTGTCCACTCAGGACGGGAGAATAATCAGGCTGACACCACATCCTGCTGCCCAGGCGGCTCCCAGTCTGCAACCCCCACGAGATCTCCAGTCTACAAGGCTATACCTGCAAGACAGAGAGGGGATGTGGCACCTATCGGGACCAGCTGCCAGCACCCCAACCTGGCATCCCGAGTACACCTTGCCCCTCTCCGCCACAGCCTTCACCCCTACCTTGTGGATCTGCGGTGGAAGCTCATCCTCTGAGCTCTCCTCTGGCACGGGCTCTGGGTGTCTCGCTGACTGCCCGTCCTCAGCCCAGCCCCCCAGAGGGAGGCGGGAGAAGTGTGATGGGGCTCTGTGTACTGTGCCCGGGTCTGCAGGAGAGGCAAGGAGGAAGATTAGCTACCTGGGGGACTGACAGTCTTCAGAGGCAGGCAGGCTGCTTGTGCCAGTCCATACAGGGCATCAGTCATGGGGCTTTGACCCAGAGCTCAGATCTCTGCCCTGGCTCCCGTACCTGTGATGCCACCATATCGCCGCTGGAAGCCGGTCTGCAGCGTGGCTGTCTCCCCGGCAGGCGGCTGCCGTGGCGAGGAGAAGGGGTAGCTGGCAGAGCGAGGGATGGGGACGGGGGCACCCCGCTGAGCATCCAGCTCCTCATGGGCACTCTCCCCACTCTCGTCACTCTCTCGCCGGTGCCAAGTGTGCCGCTCGGGCTCCAGCTGGGCGTGCTGCTTGTGCAACTGCAGGCCAAAACACGAGTGAGTCAGCCGTGTGGGAGAGCCCAGACACCTGAACACACCCTCTCCCCAACACTGCACACACGCTGGTCTCAGCTCTCACTCACGCTGGCATCCCAGTCACTCCAGACAGGGCACCCCGGTCCTGCCTGTCCTGCCCCGTGCCCCTCTGGCCAGCCCAGCTCCAGGCTGCTCACCTCGTGCATGTAGAGTGCGTGGAGACTCATCTCGGTGGAGGCGTACTCCGACAGGATCATGCTCTGTAGCTGACCCTCCCAGGCGCTGCTCCCCGAGCTCACGGTCCTCGCATCAGCACTGCCATGGGACGCACAAGTGGTGTTTGCTGCCCAGGTGACCCCACACCGCCCAGCCCCTCTCTGCTCTAATGTCAGGCTTGCAGACATCTGCTCCTGGGCTGGGTAGGAACAGGCCCTCTGTAGCATCTCCCCAGATGCACAAGGTGACCGGCCCTGCTATGGCACTGCCTCTTCCCTACCAGGGGTTTCTCACCACTGTGATACCTACAGAACACCAGAACCCCAACACTGTCCTTTGGGGCCAGCCTAAGCACCTGGGCCTAACTCTGCTTATGAACATGCCCCTTGCTCTCCCAGGCTGAAGAGACAAACGCCACCGTGCACCTAGGACAACAGGATGGCAAGCGGACAAGTGTTTAAGAAATTTGCAAGGTGTCTGGCCACCCCTCTCCAGCCTGCAGCTTACCCAGAGGCTGTCATGGCACCGGCACCGCGAGGCTGGGCTCCCC